ATGATTTATTAGAAAAATCCAGATATTGCTTTGACTTTTCTTGCAACTTCGCTAATGTCTCTGGTCCAAAGTTTGACGCCGTTTGAAGTATTTTATAAAATAATAAATTGACAATTCTTTTTATGATTGAAAATTTAGCTGCATGATTGAAGAAAAATCTGGAATTACAATAACATTAGTTACAAAATGTGCAGTATAAAAATACTCTCTCATTTGCATCTGTTAAATAAGTACTTATATCAGGAAATCAATGTCGCGTCATTAAATCAAATAGTGTTATAATGTGAAAAATATGTATTACATACTTGTAAATGTTATAAGCGATCCACTCTCCATACTTGAGTGATGCATACAAGTTGGGCATCTCAAGATTTAAAGATTCTGCCAAAAGCAGAGTCATTATCTTATGAGTCATATACAGATAAGGATAATAATTTATAGATTCGGTGATATTTCTGATTATGTACATCCATTCGGATGTGATGTCTGTAAAATTAATCTTTATCCAATGTTGATCTAAATCACATAGGCGTTGCTTTATTTCCTTGAAGCTGCCACGGCAAAAATTGTACCTAGCGGAATACATTTGACAGAATGTATTTCGTTCAGAAATGCAAGAGACGTTTAAAGCACCGTGTAATTGAATCTTAACTTTGGACCGCGAATGGAATAAGAAGCAATCAACAATATTCGCGAGTCGCGTTAAAAAATTTTTCTCCCAAAACCGAATTTCACGTTAAACTTTATTGTAAATTGAGATATGGATAAATGCAGTAGCTTATGGATTGCATATGGATAAATGCAGTAGCTTAGCCGATGTTTAACTTTACGGGAAAGTGCGTACACTTGCCAGCACATGAGTGCCTTACATTTCATTACATCGAAAGTTGTTAATAACTGTCGAGTAGAAGAGCGGGGAGGGTTTATCAGTAAGATTATTACATACTCGTCTTCCATTCCGAGAAAATATCCGTAGCACTTCCACATGTGACAAAAAGCCTCTAGATCTTCGTCAGTTGCATCGTGTATTCCGATATTCTGCGGATATATTATGGCTAACATAAGGAAGCAGCCTTGTGCAACGGAAAACATCGCATTATTTATAGTTTTTGTTATGAACAAGTTTTCGGTTATTTTATAAGGACGTATTTGCGACTTTCCGAAAGGACACGTTACAGCGTCCCTCACTGATGTTTCGCGTTCTAAATAGGACGAATCTGCGATTTTCGACACAGCGAGGATTTCCTCGTTACTCATTCGGGACATTTTCTTGTCTATCCACAAATGCTTCGAACGTGCGAATTGCATATTCTTATAGGCCTTTGTTCCTTTGACCCAAGGATCTTCATTGCACCAACTCATTATTTGTACTATAGTACTGAGATACCTTCAAATTTATATTTACATTTTTAGGCTGTATGTATGTATTTCATACAACGATTAACTGTTTTATGCTGCTTATATCTTTATATAATCTTTATATAATATTTATCTTTGATATACTATTGTAGAAAAAATATATATATTAAGTTTTATTATAGTTACACTAAAAGTGCAAGGAGAAATAAATTTGCATGATAGGGACATCGGATATCGTATGGAAACGTGATACAACAAAAAAATATTAAATTTTGAGATGATACTATAAGACATCTGTATTTTATAACAAAAAATATAAAATAATATTTTTATTTACCATCAGATAGCAATTTATTCGTTTTTTATTCTTCTATTTAAAATAGTTTTAAAAATGCACATCAATGAAACAATAACAGTATTATTTCTGAGTTGATCAAGGAAGGATTGCATTTATTGGCTTAGAAAATGAAAACAAATATCATTCTAATTTGTAATCGATGCTTGATTTTATTGAGATTTTATTATTTTCTTTGATATCCTGAAAATTGATGTTTTTTTAGTATTACTTTTTATACAATGTTCAATACAGAAAATTATGTATATGTAAAATATATATAAAAATTTGGTAAATACTGACTATCGGTAACAGAAAATCGATGTTATAATTTCTCACTTAACAATGTAAATGCAGCATAACACGTGTATTATGTAACATTTACATTGTTGAATGGGAAAGTGATGTAATATTATTATTATTTGATATTTACTAGTAAATAAGTAATTTATTATTAAATGAGAAATTCGCTTTTTTATAACTGCTTTCTCATATGTTTACGAGAAATTTTCTGCAACTCCTATTGCGATTAGTTTCTTTTATTAGTAAAATAATAATAAATCTTACATGGACCATCGTAAAAAAAAGGTACTAAAGTCGAAAAACGTGCTTTGCGATTTAGATTTCCGCAAAACTTGTACTTACATCATGATAAATCTTTCCTTGTTATTTTAACAAAATCTTTACTTTTATTTTCATAAAACATGTGTAAAGTTGTTGCTCAAAATGTTTAAAAACAGCTCGAAACTAGATCACTGATATACACTTTGATTTTTTAGGAGACTATATCTTTTAGTAAAATACCTTTTAAATGCCAAATATGGTGTTTGACTCTGTCCTGATACGATAATTGGTGTTAGACCATCGTTGAAGGTGAAACCGTAGATGGAGCCTAGTAATACGCTGATGATAATAGAGGCGTAATTGTCATGTACAAACTTTTGTCCTCTGCGATATTTATTCATGTCTATCCATTTAGGCAATTTCTCTTGTGACTGATTATGAT